ATATTACAAAAGAGCAATAAAACATTGTATAGCTTATGACAGAAATGTGGGCCTACTAAAAAGCATGTATATGTACTGGACTCTATCTACTCAATACTTCGTCACCGGGTCTTGAGTTACATGAAGGCAATCAGCCTGTGGTTCTTCTGAAGTGTAAGGAAATCTAATTAGCTTTAATAGCAGCGTTCAATTTGTCTATATTAGTGGTTCTGATGTCTCACTCCTTCTACTTGACAATAACACACAGGAGTTCTCGTCTTAGGCAAGTTTGCTGGCTAATCAAGCACAGTCATACCACAGTCATTAAACCCCAGGCGTGGTAGTTTTGGCAGTGTTGTCAGCTGCCAAGTCCTGCTGGAAAATGAAATCAGCATCTCTGTTAAGCTTATCAGTGGAGGGAAGGATGAACTGGTGTAAATTGTTCTTGTGGAAAAAACACAGTGGACCTTGAACAGGAGATGAAGCTTTCAATTATTGTGGAAACTTCATTCTGGAGTTGAAGGAATTTGAGTTCTGTGCCCATTCACTTGTCCTCCATGCGCTGCGACTTTAATTTCCAATTGATAAGAATATAATCATATCATGCAAAATTGACCTTTAATCTAAAAAGAGGGAATTGTAACTCTGACCATCCTGTGCTATTTTGTGACAACCAGGCCATCTTCATTTGAAATATTTCTTCCTTTCCTTATCTTGCTTTGTGTTAGTAAGCAGTAAGAGATAACATTTTTCATCTCATTTTATCTCATCTTGCAGCAAAGAATCTCTTGTCTCTGACTGCCACAGTTTACAGCTGCTCAGAAACATGACTGAGTAAAAAAAAAAAACTAACTCTGTGGCATCTCTCCAGTTGCAGCACCCCGGTGTCACTACGTATCCTCCAGAGTGGCTTACAGGAAGGGTTGCAAACACGTGATATAAAAAAAAAGAGGTAATTTGAGATAAACTGGTCCATTCATTTCTATTAGATATTTAACATTCAAAGCTGACATTCAAATTAAAACATTTTATTATTTTAAAGTTTGAAAGCGCTATTTCTGGCCGTTGGAAGAAGTTGAGAGAAGAAATCCCTCAACGCTGTCCGCTTCTTTCATATCCATATGCTACCAGCTTAACTCAGTGCCAAGGAAAATCTTGCAAAACTCACACATCAGCAAAGTTATTGCAGTGTTTGTATCAGCAGTGGAGTGACAATCTGGAGGCAGTGCACCATATTGCACGACCACCATCACTGCATGCTGAGTGCCGCTGCCAAGAGCTGCCATCTGGCAGGTGAGCTGCACTCTTTCCACTTGTTTCTTTTCTTCCACTTACCTCTCTCCACCACAGTTTGTCACCACCTCTTTCTATCGTCTTCCTCTCTGTTTTAGCCTTCATAGCTCCTCTTTACTCTCTCTACCTCTACTTGTTACTCTGTCTTAGTCTCCTGATTACATGTGAGGTTTCTAGCTGCATTAAGCTCCCTTCAGGCCTGGATAAAACATTAAAACAAGGAGAAGCGCAAAGATTAAAATCAAATAAAGGTAGCACAACAGCTTATAAGTTGTGCCTAATGAACTGCAGTTTCACCATATTTCTTCCCCCTGACTGTTTTCTCGCCCCTCTTTGTCTCTTCCACTCTATGTGTATGCAAAGACACATCAGGTGCAGAATATATCAGAGCTATATGTATGAGGGCACAAGCTGAGCTCTCGACATCACCTCTTTCCTCTGGCTTTAGCATCTGAACAGTCCACTTAAATTACTCTCTCCATGAGCATCTACAGTAGAGGAGGGTGGAAAGGGCGAGACTCAAAGTTAGGAGGTGGAGGGGGATCTCCAGCTACGGATGATAACATTGAGTTTCTGCGCACTGTGTAACTGTGTTACATACACTAATGCATTATTGCAGTGACCGTGCATCGCCTTTCCCGCTGACCCACATTTGCACTCCCTGTTCTTTAAATTACTCAAAAATCAATGTCACATACGCAACTGGTTGTTCAAATTAAGATTTTTTTTTTTCTATGCAGAAGAACAGAGGAGTGTTCCTTCATTGTTCTTTCCCTGTAGGTTTGAGAGGATTCCTTTCGATCCTCTCAAACCTACAGTAGCTCATTAATCTCTGCAGAGGTCTAAGATAACACTTAACTTCTCGCTTGTGGGTGAAAGTGACAGAGACAGATGTTCTAAATTACTTCACCTACACCGGTCCAGCGTTGCCTCCAGGGGTAAGAGACTCAACAATAATGCAGTTTCATCTGCAGTTCTTCTCGAAAATGCTCCAAAGAGCTCTGTTACAGATGAACACAAAGATCAATGGACAATTTATAAGAGCACTGTGTATAAAATCTTACAATTGATTGAATTAGAAATTCTTGAGCAAATCTTTACAACATGTGAAACACATGTGAAACCTGATGTTTCAAACAGTGAATAAAAACCCACTTTTTCTTCATTGTCTGACATTAAATCACACTACACTTTTTTTGTTTTAGGTCAGTTAAGATTTCCGTTCTATTTGCTAAATACCAAAATAATAAACATGTTTTAAGATAACTTTTTTATTTTTTTGTTATAATGCTTGCAACCTCCCCCTTTTTCCTCTTCATGTAACAATATCCAATAACAAGAGCACTGCACTCAATATGCATATTATTATTATTAGCTGATTGAACTGCAATAAATGTTAGCTCATTATTTAAGTGCCATGTACTGAAACTTGCTTGCAAAATATTTGATGACACACGTTGCTTATGCAGAATAAATTGTGTTAGACAGTAAAGTGACGATAAGGTGGTATTAAGAAACCAAATCTTTTTTCAGTAAAATTTTAATTATTTTTATTTCAGCAGCTGGATACACCACTCACTGTCTGGGGTCTATGTTTCCAAAGAACCCAATGCAAAATAAATACTTTTTAATTATTTTTACTCAATTCATAGTTGCTCACAATATTTACTAATATTATCTCATATCAAAAATTATCTTATTATCGTGCAGCCACGGAAAAAAAAAAAACAATTAGCTTCTGTTCATCGATGGAAGGACATGTCTAAAAATAATTACTTTATTCCTGAGACCGTTTAAAAACTGTAACCTGGCTTTTGATGTTGCTTTTGATGTGAAGACTACTTCCCTGTTGAGTGGACTTTCAGTCCAGGACATATTTTACAATTATACTCTCTTACCAGCTTCATGCATCATCTTCACAAAGTCTTTTGATTTTGTTCTGGGATTAATATCTGCATCTTGCATCAAAAGACTGAGACAAAGAATCTGTCTGCCTATAGAACGATATGAATATGACACCTTCAGGCATCTGAATATTAAACCAGAAGTGAATGGTTTAATATTCAGGAGGTCAACAGTTCCCCTAGTAACTTGATTTAGTTCTAGTTCCCCATGCCTTCACACAAGGACACAGTGTGTTTGAGGTGTTTGTCTTGAAGTTGTTCCTTACCAGTGCCTCAAAATAACTTAAATGTCATGAAATAACCAATCAAAAGACAGCAAAGTTAAGATAATATCCTCATCTACTAATCTTAAGGCACTGGGTTTATCTGAATTTAAAGAAACTGATAAAAACATTGTTAAAGTGAGGGCAACTGTATGACAATCACTATTTGCCGTTTTGAAACAGTAAGTATTAAATACTTCACATCTAACCTGTGCCTATTTTGAAGCCTAAAGAAATTAACTCAGCAGTAACTCGGCTTTCTAGAAATGATAATATTTCCTTGTGAATACATCCTTTACTGTTTTTCTTGAAAATATTACTTTCCATATTATATTACTTTTGGTATATAATATGGAATATAATATTATTTCTTGTTTTTCTTCCCACAAAAAGGGGGTTTTTACATCAGCATGTTTAATCCTGAGGTTATTACTACCGCAGCAAAAGGCTCTGATATTTACTTCACAGTGAACAAAATAATTCATGACTTTTATTATTTGGTAAAAGTGGGGCTTTGTTGATCTGCTAACTACTACATCACAGGCCTAACCAAGGTTTAATTTACTGTTATCAATGCAACAGAGAGAGAAAATGAATGTGAAGATTCGTTTAAATCCTAAAATTAGCAGGCAACTGATAAAATGCTGAAGCACATGACAGGCGAGAGCATGCCAAGAGAGAAGCCAATTTTTATTTTTTTTTTTCCTCTGTCTTTCTCTCTCTCCACAAGAGGCTTTACTCACTCTGGAGGGGCCAGGAGAATAAAAGCTAGTCCAACTGGCTGGCCAGATAAGCCAGACCAGAAAGAGCACACAGACAGAAGAGAGGGGTTCATCTGCTTTGCATGAGGGGTGAGAGTCAAAAAAAAAAAAAAAAAGATGGGAATCCAACTGCCTCCCCTCCTCACCCTGTCTCTTCCACCAAACACACACAGGGACAGTCACATACGGGGGCTTGAACAAAGATGCACTTGGTCAACAGCATTGTCGAGGCTGGCACAGCTCACAGCTCTGTGCTCTTTAGGACTCAGCCTTCATCATCCCGGCTCCTGCCCCGGCTTATCAGCATCCCAGTGGCTTGCACTCTGCCCTGCCTGCCAAGGCTGCAGGAGGAGGAGATAGGGCAGCAGTAGTGGAGGGCTGACTGACTGACTCTGTATCTCCAAGCTTAATACTTCACTCTATTTTTTCTCTCTCCTGATGACCACTGATCTGATGCGCTGCCCGGAATAATCCACACGCTTAGAGAAAAAAATCCTCACAAGCAGGCTGCTGCAGTCTTTGTCTAATACAGCTGAAGGAAATCTATCCCCTGATGGTGTCATTATTTTTCCATCTGACCTGATGAAGAGTTGACCTGCCTCTTGTCAGTGAATGTGATGGAAAACATTCACATTCTTCTAAGAGCATCACCTGCGTCTCGTCACAGGTGGTCAGCAGAAATGTTTTTTAACAACAAGTGCACAGCCTCGTTGCAAGGCTCAAACGGTGCGTAAAGTCATGCAACTTTCGGCTTCTGCACAATGATGGGTGGGAAAAAAAGCAAAAGGTTGAGTACTCACCTTGAAACAGCAGGAGACTCATTCATGAGTGGGGCAGAGTCGGTGATTCCTCTTGGGTTTGAGCGCAGCGTCCGGCCACCACCTGTCCGTCAGTGGATCAGATATGAGCAGATGAATGAATTTATTCTAAGTGCTGACGCGCCGCGCAGCTTGGAAAGTCATCAGGACAACAGTGAGCATCTCCCGGTGATCCGCTGAGAAGGAAGCGGCATCGAATGACCCTCTCGTCTCGCTCAGGGACTGATCATTTTCTCTAACAGGCTGCCACGGTTTCTCTACGCTCTCCCTCCCTCCCCCTGTCTGTCTGTCTGCCTGTCTGTTTGACTGAGAGTGGCTGTGAGCTTCACAGTGAGGATGCCGGTGATACATGAAGTCACCCATCAGTTCACTTGCACCTCACGTACGGTGTGCGGTTTTTTTTTTTTTTTTTCATTTAGACCCAACCTCCATCGCGTCATCCAGTGGCCCAACACCAACGCTGTCCTATGGGCTACTACTTGATTTCATTACCTACGTAATGAAATAGCACAAACAAACTTATTATTCATTGTGTTATTTAAAATAATATTTTTATATAAATATAGCAAAACATTTAATACATTTGGAAGCCTAAAAAGTTTTTATAAGACCCACTCGGTCTCAGATTAAATATGATCAGGCTTATCCATGGGGACATGCCAAAGGATTACAGTATTGATATTAGGCAGACACATCTTCTCTGAAACAAAATAAAATTACTTAGTAGCTCCATCCTTACTGCAACCAGTTGTTAAGATACCAGAAAGACACGGAAAATATATTTTAATTCTGTATATATCAACAGATATCCCTATATACCCAGCGTTTTATTTTAAAACAGAAGACAAGATGCATGTACACTGCAGTTTGGACAAATGACTTTTAAATACCGCCATCTGTAGGAAGCCTAACGTAACTGCAACTCTTCGGCGCTTGAATCATCTTAGCTGTGAATGAAAAGCTTCTTTGGGGACGGATCTCGGGTAATTGAGGGGTAATTATTATTATAAGAGACCAGAGTCAATGCCTCAGAGAGAGATGGATATTTTAAGAAATTATTTTGAAAAAAGAAAAGACAAATTTTAACAGAAAAGGTAAACAATGGTAGGATATTCTGAAGGACTTGAACAATAGCAGAATTCTGGATCAGCTGAAGCTTTCTGATTGACTTTTTAGGCAGACCTGTGAAGACAGTGTTGTGGTAATAAATTTGAATAAAGATAAAAATATGGATGAGTTTCTTAATATCTTCTTGGGATATTAATTCTTGAATACTGGAAATGTTCTCAAATGACAGAAGGCTAACTTTGTAATTGTCTTTATGTGTCTCCGAAGATTCAAATCTGGGTTCATCACTATGTCCAAATTGAGACACGCTATGAGGGCCGTTGCATGATGCATGGATGTCTCTGCTTTTAATGAAAAAGTATTCAGCATGCCTCACAAGCACATACTCATTAAACTCACCACTTCCACAGAACTGCTTACCTAGCTAAAAAGCTCAGCAGGCAGGTCTTAAATGTGTATGTGTGCTGGAAGGAGGGAAGCAGGGCCCATTGCCCAGTTATCCCTCCTCTTTTCATTTTCTGTTTGGTGGGCAGGAGATGAGTCAGAGATTTCAGACGGGCTACCTGTTTGGGGTCCATGCTTCCCCACGGCTCAACAGATGGGAGCCACCCCTTACTGGGACTGGGTCAGGCGCAGGAGCTCTTGACCCGCTGTAATTTCCAGTCACTCACAAGCATATTACAGTTTGAAAGCAGGAAAGCCTGCAGACATACAAACAAACCCAAATGTTGAGATATATTCTCAGGGGAGATTATGCACATGAATGGTGCAGGCAGCATGTCCACAGATGCATCCATGGCATGCACTCCACAGCTCTAAAAGAGACATTTATTTAGTACATGTTTTGATCAGTAGTCAGTTTTGAGAGAGAGAATTGAATAAAATAGTTTAATGTGTTTAGTCTAATTCAGGTTACATCAGCATATTTATCCAGACATAAATCCTATGTTGTCGCGGTCCAACCTTAATGTGTAAGTTATTGTAAAAACCATTACCAGCAGGGTGCTTATATGAAAGCAACGCAGTAGCTGTGAGGATTTTTAGTGCTAGGCTTTCGACAGTGAGCATGTAACTGATTTGCCAGGAATTGTTATCTGCACCCCACAGGTCTAATTTCAGGGCGGTTGCAGTTTTGAATTAGTTTTCAAGATGCTGTGCAAACTCCTGTAATCGTTCCTTTAAGAGTGCCACTTGTATGGTCATAACTCTGGAGTGAATTCACGGATAACAAAAGCCACAGGTTAGCCACTCACGGGAAAAACACTCCAAGGAGGCCTGCCGCACATGGTGGGAACACAATCTCTTAGAACAACCTTATTATGTTGTTGTAATTGGAAAGCGCTTGTTGAATCTTAATTTCCAATGAAATTACAGCAAACATATTTTTGATCCTGGTTAAATGGAAGCTAGAAGCTCAAAATAAACTCACTGAAATTACTCCTTTTATTTTAATTTTTTTGTTTGTTTGTCTTTGTTCTTGTTTATTTTAAGATTATTATTGCAACGCATGATGGGTCATATTTACTTCCTTATTTGAGTACATGATTCATATTATCCTGAGAGATAAATGCAAAATAGTCAGTGGAATGTAGTTAAGATAGTTACATAAAAACACATGGCATCCCAATGATTGCAAACTAGGTCGTAGCTGGAATGCCTCATTTCTCTTCACACAACATAAAGTTAGATGATAAATTATTGCTAAGAAGGCCATCTTTTTATCTTCCTGACTAAATTAAATAATTTTCTTAGGGTTCAGGTTTTTAACTTTAGGTAATGCATAACCTCCAAAAATAATAACTCTGACCCATTCTAGGCCCTCCATATTGGAACCATCCAGTTCCTCCAGAGTGAGTGAAGCCATCCTATAGATTTACTATGTTTTACTCTAAGTGCAGCATTCTCAGCCATATTAGGTTTAATTTCCACCCTATAAGAAACAGACAAAAAACATTTCCAGAATTCTAAAATAAATTGTATGCAGTACATATATTTTTTTTTTATGTCTAGTTAATTTGAAGTCTCTTTCTTGGCTTCCACTCACGGGGTCCGATTAGATTTATTTTGCCATGCAAGGCGTTGTTGAAAGTGCCCTTCTATCGAATTAGGACAATCAAAATCAGCTGCACTGTAGCTTTTGGAATAATACATTGGCATTTTCTTTCTCACATTTTGTTTCTCACTTTTATAGTGTAGTTGAAGAAACTTTTATTGATGGAACAAGCTAAAGTATTACTTGTCAAACTAATGAAACATTGTTAAAAAAAAATGTTTACAAATAAAAACCAGAAAATGTTGTGGTTTAACTTAGTCCACTATACTCTAATAAATCCAGTGCAATTAGTTGACTCCACTTTCAAATCTACTTCAATATATCTATAAATATATACATATATGTACCTATATATGTCACCAATAAAGATTAATTAAATGGCTGATGATATCAACAGGTTGTGGAAACGCACAATAACAATTAATTTGAATCAGGTGTATTGGAACAGTGATGAATGTAAAAGTTGTAAAACAGGAACTGTGAAGGTCAGACTTGAGTTACTGGTTTAAACCATACTAGTTTGTGGGCTAAAATTTTCCAGTCTAAGATCAGATATAAATCCATTGAAGAATGTGAAGTAATACTAACAGAAACTCTACGTCCTTTCTGTCTGAGTTTCACCTGTTTTAATCAAGAATTTCTGTCTCTTGACTGGCAAATTTGGTAGACAATACCCCAAAAGACGTGCAACTACTACTCAAGGCAATAAATAGAGTGCACTTTACAATTTTCAGGCTTTTAATTGTACAAAAAGAAAAGGAAAACCATTATAATTTATGTACCTCTTTGCTTCAGACTTTTACATAAAATCCCAGTGATAAAAGGTTTTCATAATGTGAATAAATTGAAAAAGATGTGTAAATACTTATAATAGATACTGTTGATGATGATTTAATCCCCTTTGTGTGAACCCAGAAAATACCATCAGTAGGATGTGATCCAAAATTTAAGTAACAGGCCAGTGATATCTGTGCCTAATGTGATTTAGTAAAGAATCCATTTTAAGTTGGATATTTGTTAACTCTTTTATGAGCAGACTTTTTGCTGAGACATAAATTACTTCTTCTGATATGGGAAATGAAACAGTTTAACACATACGGTAGGTACCATTTTAACACCAAAGATTCCCTAAGTACCATAAGATGAAAAACTAGCATAGAGTAGATGGTCATCTGAAATCTCTCTGGTCTTGTGTCAGAACAGACTTGTTCTGGATTATAATGATCCTGTTTCTTGGATTCAGATTCTGTCCATCTGCTGAGATTTGGCCAAACTTTTGTCTGTCCTCAGAGAGCCGGCAGAACTACTGATCAGCCACCATTTAAAAAAAGAAAGAAAAACCAAGGAAAGACTGACTCCCTACGAGCACAGTATAATGACATCAAAGTTGCTTTATTTTTTTGCTTTTCATCCTTCCTTTTCTCTATATATTTTACCATCTGATTATTTTACTTTGTCAGTTGACTGTGGCACAGTTTTATCAATATAAAATCAATAGAAGGAAACCACCATGTGGCAGACATGAGACACGAGAAATAATAGCTTTACAGTTTTCCCTTCATGTTCCAGAAAAGGGGATTTAAGCTGTCCTGAGGAGATTCACATGGTGGAAACACTCCACTACTCCAGTGCAGCTGTAAAACAGTCTCCAAATTTAATTATAAAACTAACAGTAAACCTTCACTCAACACTCAGTAAAACTGCAGCCTTTGCACACATGAAAATGAGACATGAAAGTCTAAAGAAACCCCAGCACCTGGAGGTAATCATAGCCACAGCTTCATCAGCATTTGCAATTAGTTACTTTGGTAACAGCGGTGGTCATTCGCACAGCCCCAGCGTGTCGACATACATGATATTCGGTTCGGCCATTGTTCTGATGTGTTCATTATGATTGTTACGCTGTTGCTCCAGGCCTTTCTCACAGACAGGACCCAAGTGGAGCAGCCAGCGAGATGCAATCTACTTCATGAAAATTACCATAACAACACAAAGCTCTGGAAGCAAGTAAAGAGAGGCGCAGGCAAACTGAGCAGCAATAAACGACGACCACAGGTCCAATCAAACTGTCATAACACTGAGAATAATAACAACCAAAAGCCATTAAAACCATTCACTCTGAAGCATTAACACCTCAGTGTATAAAGAATAGGACTGAAAGGACCCTCATATTTCTCTCTGTTTTGCCTAAACAGGCACATTTTACACATCTCACTTCCATCATCTCCAGATTTTAATAACACATTCATCTACGGGAAGC